ATTGTGAATTCCTGTTGAAGACTTCAGTGCTGTTTGTACAAGGTTATGTATATGGGGAAGAATGTGGCACCATTAGTGTTGTGTTAGACTGCAAGTAGTGATTTTATTCATTTCTTCCCCCTCCCTTTCTTTCCCCTTTTTAATGATGATCGGATGCCTTGCGTGGAACTTTGTTGTTGGGCACAGTGTGGCTCTTTCTTATCCCTCTTAGAGAATTTTCTCCTGTTTAAGAGAAATAAGGTAGTTGTTGAAGGTATGAAATTTTCAAAACTAGAGAAGTTTTTTTTTCAGTCCTTTTCCGTCAAATCCCTTTCCTGTAAAAAGTTTCATTTGCAATCTGTGTTCATGCCTTTCATTTAATAAAGATTTGTTTTAAGTCAACGCAGTATTTAAACAGCTACCAAAGAAATCTTTGACAATCTGGACTCCATCCACCACCTTTCTCTGCCAGGATTTTTCCAGTCTAGACTTCCTTTTGATAGAATAAGTACTGTAACACAGTCAGCATGTGGAGTGCCATCTGCCCTCGATCAAATTGTATTTAAAATTCAATTTCAGGTTATTTAGAAATTGGTAACACTCAGCTTGTGCCTTAATTTAATGTAGTAACACTCCCCTCCCCTTCTTAAATCAAACCCAAGCTTATGGTAGTTTTTTTTCACCACACTGTTTAAACTGAACCCCTCTTTCCAAACTTGTTTGTATTGTAAATGTTTAACACATTTTACTGGAGGCTACAGGATGGTGACCTTGATTGACCCCAGCATGACCTTGGTTGACCTTGATTGACCTCACTGTTTGAGGTCAAAGTAAAACAATGAGGACTGGGCTCAGGTTTCTGACACTTGACTGATGAGGGTTGTAATAGCTGGAGGTGTCAGGGAGGAGTGGACTGAGTTCATATTCTGTGTGTACTCTGAGTAAGTCCATGTGGGGCATAGCCGCATAGCACATTGTACTTCTGCTGCACAGACATGTATTCTTGTAAACCTACATACAGTGGATTTATTTGTGTTCATGTGTGCATTCATTTATGTATGTATGCGTGTGCATATGATATGTGTGTGTTAGTATATTTACATATATGTATGGGTGTGTGTGTAATTATGTGTTGTGCATCTCATTCTGTCCAGGAAACCATACCAGCCCCCCCCCCCCCCCATCACCCCTTTCAACAAACTCTCTCGGTCTCAAACCTTGTACTCAGCCACCCCCATCAACTTGTACACTACTCTATTGTAAACTCTCCTTCTAAGATTTATCACCAAGAGATGAAAATTGTGCCAATTAAAAGGCAAATTGGGGTTAATTACCATCCTCAACATGCGATAAGCCATAGATGAGAGATACTCCTATTCCATAAAATAGTTCCTTAATACGTAAGAATATCCCATTGAATGGCGTGTAAGCTCTGTTAAATGAGGTCAGAGGCAGGTTAATTGGTGTGTGTAATCAGAGAAAAATGCCTGGCACCTGTTTGCCCATTAATAAAACTCTTTGGGATCTTATTTTCAGGAGATTGATCACCTGGCGTAAAGAATGCAATTAGAAACGAATGATAACAGTTCTATTGTCATTAGATGTGAACTACGAGGAAATGCATCAGTTTATTGCACTGTTAGCATGCATTGTTTGTGTAAAATGCTGGATTGAAGTGTACTTCATTCATTAAATGAATGATGGATAGTCTAAGTTGACTGTCATGATAGTAGCACGTTATGTACAGGTACATAGTCTTAATGTCTATGATATGGAGTAAGGGTTTTATTCAAGAATTTTATCACTCTGAGATTTGATTTTTAAAAAATCTAAATAACATGTTAAGAGATGCATTCTGGATTAAACAAATCTCAAAATTTTGATTATGAAAGTGTATATTGGCCTGATTGATTTTTTTTTGACAATATTCAAAAATGTTCCACCAAGTCTTAGTTCCCTCAAGTCAAGAGATCCCTCAGAGCTCTGGTAATTTGTGTGTAAATTCGCTGAACGTAATTTTATACCCGGGGAAATGTTGTACTAGTTTTGTTAGTCCCGAAATGGACGTTAATCCTCAAGTGTAGATTTCTTGTAGATTTCCCCCTTCATTAGGCGTTCTCTGTGGACAGCTGATCAAGCTGCACATAAATCATGGCGTATTTAGTTCGCCTGGATGTCTATTACTTCTGAAGAGGTTGATTGTCCCTAGCAGTTTAGAATTGGACACATAAATAGGTGATAATAGAGTTCAAATATGATAAAGACATAAAACTGGGAATTACAAACTTGTCAGTTTGCTTATAGTACATTTAGGAACCTTGATTTCATTGGTTGTAGTTGTTAGTGGCTTAGGCTTTCCCTTTAACTGAGATAATCAATTATGGCAGTCAGTTTGTCATGTTGCGTCATAATTCATATGTTCTGGAATCTTTGCCATATTGTAATTCACCTGTTTATATGATAAAGGTCATAAGTGGAGGTATCTAAATGCGCTGGCGATTTCAACTTAAATATGACCATACAGTTTAGTTTGGGAGTTTGGTATGGGGTAGGGGAGTGTGGAAAGATAGTTGTTCTTTTTGAAAATGAAAAAAAAAAAAAGAAAAAACCAAAAAGCCGAATGGTTCTGAAGAGAGTAAAGCAAGGTAAACCAAGTATATTTGAGCAGTTATGAAGTGATTTGAGGGTGACCTCCTAGGCAGCAATGATATGTCAAACAGTTGCCTTCTCTGACCTCCTTGTAGCACCTGCCAGTGCCCCCAGAATATCCAGAATAACTTTGTTGTGTCTAGATATACGTAGAGATGTTATGAGGCTAGACTCATGTACTTGGAACCATTCTTTAATAGTTTGGAAAGAAATCATAGAATAGCAATTATTGAAAGTCTTTTCTGCGGTAATGCATTGAAGTTATTCCTTTTAAGAAGGAAGACTGTATTTAATGACATTGGATTCACATACAAACATACACTGGGGTACGCGCAATTTGCCTGCTCATACTGAAGATTTTGGAGGCATTCACATTAAAAAAATTAATTTGATGTTCAGCGTTTTCCATACAAAAACAATCATCAGCACCAATGAAAAATGACTCACATTTTCTAACACATTGACATACAGAGATTATTAATTGACCCCCTTGTATGTATATATGATATGAATCCTTGTGTTCAAAACATCAGGATACATATCATATGCATACATTCAAATTAACTTGCAAGTATGACACTTGTGGAATGTGTTTGGTATCACTGACGGCGTGTGTTATGAAAGTTACTGCAGTCTTCGGGCAATGTTATGTGTATGTGTGAAGATATTTCTATTACTTTGGCTGCCTGCTCTTATCTGTACATCCATGTCCAAGTGGTGGCTGGTAGAAATGAGCACTTCGAGAAAATAATTAAACACTGTTAATTTGTTTTTGTTTTTTTTTTGTTTTTGATGATGGAGACAGATAAAATGAGATGCATGTAGTTGTGCGGAAAGAAACAGCTTTAGAAGATTTTAAAGAGACTGTAGTGGTTTGTTAAATAAACATTAGCAAAATATCTACTGCCTTATTTTCCATATTCAAGTCTTATTTTTACTGGTGTAAACTGGTTTTTTATACTGGAAGACCTGTGTGTTATTTTTAAAGCTGACTTTGAGTGACAGCACACGTAATCCAGTTCTCATTTTTTATGTCCAGTAGATTGAGATATATTGAAAGCTGGAACCTCCACAAAACCCAACACATTCTCTTCCAATTTTATGCCCGAGTTGGTCGCACCCATAAAAATGACCCTCTCAATGAAAACCCTGCCATCTTGATGGTCTCCTGTAACACAAGAAAAGCAATTGAAACCCAATCATTGAGTAAAAGCTGAAGTGATATTCTCTGGTAGAGAAAACATCAGAACCTCTTTCACATAAAAAGAGTGGGAATTAAGAAAATAAAGTCTGTTTAGAAGGATCCTGTAAGAAGAAACCACCTGCAAATGAAACGATCACAGATAGCTGACATCAAAGAGATTTTTGCGAAAGTTGAGGTTGTGATGAGACTTGGGAATCTGCCTCTTCTGACCTTCTTTAATCTACGCACTTTGTGGCAGGTTCCACAATAGAGCCATAGACCGAATTGTGGGCTGAACTTTAAGATGGAATATTTTGAACTACCTCAGTTCAGGAAAAATCTTTAGTAGTTCATTAGAATAAATAAACTATTAGTTGACAGTAAGACCAATTTTATTCTATTGTATCACAAATGTTGATTCATTTGAGTGGACCAAAATAGATTGGTAGTAGTAGACTTGTAGCTTTGGCTCTAATGTTAAGACCAACTCTCAGTTTTTAATTCCTCTGTGGAACCAGACTCGAGTAAATGTAAAATATGACATGATTGGCTGTGAGGGGAGGTTGCCAGGTGACTTGTGAAATGAACGATGTACGCCTCCATTGTAAAGTTCGTGCCAAGTTCACCTGGTTCAGGCTTTAGCAGATAAGTGTCCGTAAAGGAGATCAAATTGAATTAATTTGGTTTTTTTTCTGAAGTTTTTCATCAGTGTTTTTTTCCCCCAGTTGCATCAGATTAAAATACCTTTGCTGGCTGATACTGAGATGGATGAGATGATAAGTTCACTTCTTTTAACCTTGATTTTTTTTTAAAGAAAAATGGTCCTCATCAAAATGTATTGAAGTCTGCGTGTGTGATGTGTGTTGTGTGATGTGTGATGTGTGATGTCTGTTGTGGTTGGAATGTGGTTGCATGTTAGGAATGATGAAATATTTAATTTCTGTGAAAAATGTTTATGGATAAATAACCTCTACTTACCCTATTTAGTGAGAATGAGGAAAAAAATTGTCTTGAAATTATCTTTGTTTACCATATTATAACTTCCTGACCATATCAAGTATTAATGGAATAGAATTCCTGGATTGATATTCCTTAACCATATTACCACTTGAAATATATTTCTTCCTCTTTGTTTGGAAAATAGTCTTTCTTGATCTGTGTCTAACTTTCTACTTGTTATCCATTTCAGAGTTTTTCACAGAGCTATTAGAAAATGGCAGGAAGGATTTCCACTCCATGTTCGTCAGGACATACGGCCAGTTATATCAACAGAACGCACACATATTTAATGACTTGTTCACTGACCTACGCAGTTACTACAGAGGGAGAAATATCAATCTTTTAGACGCCCTGGAGAACTTTTTCGCAACCTTATTCCAACGAATGTTCCAGTTGCTGAATGCACAGTACGAGTTGGACCAGTCGTACTTGGGGTGCGTCGCAAATACGATGGATAAGCTGAATCCATTTGGAGATGTACCACAGAAATTTTCACAGCAGCTGAAGAGGTCGTTTGTTGCTGCGCGCACGTTCATGCAGGGACTTGCGATTGGAAGAGATGTCATTTTACAAGTTGGAAAGGTAATTTGTGAAAAAAAGGAAGATGGATGTTTTTGATTTGTCAGAGTGTTAAATCACTTACCAGGAGAACATGAACCTGCGAAAGAATGTAAACGTAAAGATAAAAAGAAATATTTTACATAAAATAATTTTGAAATAGACTAACTTTGATTATTACTAAAGTGAAATTCTAAAAAAATTCTTTGTTTTGGAAAGTTGCTCTGGGTGTTATCTTAACTATAGTTGGTTTCAGAATACTCAGGAATTGAAGAGCTTTGCCCCTGCATTGAAATTCACAGGCCCCAAAATAAAATGAAAAAAAGCAAAGAAAAAACAAAATGAAGTCCAAACTTTTCTTCTTCATTGAACCAATTAGGGCTTAATTTGCTTGTTACGTCTGATTACATCTCGTTACGACCGATTACATGTGGTTACGTTTCTCATCACGTTTGATTGGTTGCACAATATTCAGCGGTGAGTTTTTATCCCTGTAGGGGAAGTGGGAGTTTCCAGTACAACGTACCGTCTGTTTTGATAGCCAGTGCATTTAGCAGATTCGGAAACCTGCTGTAATCTAACAGTGTTGTTTCATCATTCTTTGATTACGTCTTTGTTTATTTTCTTGTCGGGAGTTTGTGTGTGTAAGTAGAAAAAGTTGGCTTTTTTCATTTTGGAATATATTTGACTTGTTCTTCATAGGGAAAAGTGCAAATTGCAGAAAATTTCCTTTTTTCCAAAAGAGAAAAAAATGGACAACACCTATTCCAAAGAATTCATAAAAAAACTGTTGTGAAGAAATATATTTAAAAAAAAAACATGGCAATCATCATCTATTAACAATTGTTCTAAATAAAGCAACCACAAAATGATATTGAATGACTTTCTTCATAAAATATCACTATGTCTCGCTATCATACTCTAAATCGCGGTAAAATTTGGTAGTTCACTTGTCATTACAAGCCATAAAACATGCTTTATATGATATATTTTTTAATTTTGTTATTGTCAAAGCATCAAATGGACGCAGTTTATCTAAAGTGTACAATAAAATGATTGTTTTAACTTGCATGAGGAACATGTTTTAGGAGTTACTCTGTCTAAATAGACTCTTTTTTGTGAACAGCGTTTCCTCTGATCAATTGTATAGTCTTTCTTATATGAACTGCTATTCTTACATGATGATAAAGGTGGCAGGAAAAACTAAATTAGTATTTTGATGTCACCTAACCTCCCTTTTTGCTCTGATACATCAGTGTTACAAAACTCCTCCTTTCAAATGGAAAATAACCCGTCTAAACAAAGAAAGCTATACATGATGGAAAAATAATCAAAAAATATTGCAGAAATATGCATTTGTCTGATCATGCTTGTCACTTTGAAAAGTACAAAGATTTATTTAGTCTGAAGCCAGACCTTTAAGCTGATCGCTTCAGACCACATGGTTCAGTTGCAGACTGCTTCTGGGGGCTCATTTCCAATGAAACTATTGCTCTACTGTATGTAGACCAATCCAACTCTGCAGAGACTCTTGCTGAATGCAATCAAGTGAACAGATTTACCATGCCTCCCCCTGGTGTTGAGAAGAATACAGAAAAGCTGGTTATTATATGAGTACAATGGAAACAAGAGTAGGCTTATGTCTCTATTTCTTCCATTTCAGATCCAGCCCTACCACAACTGTAGGAAGTCACTGATGAAAATGATGTACTGCTCCTACTGCAGTGGATTGCCCACCATTAAGCCTTGCAATAATTACTGTCTCAATGTTATGAAGGGTTGCCTTGCCTACCAGGCTGAGCTGAACTCTGAATGGAACAAATATATCAGTAAGTTATCACATCGTAGGGATGAGTACTTAATTGGTAATATTATTCTTTTTCTACCAGAAATTCTGTTTAGGATTATGTGATAGCCTTGAATACTTGCAAATGAAAGTTGTCAGGGTGTTAAGATACATTAAAGTATCTGTGTGTCTGTGTGTATGACTAGCCATTTGTGTCCTGTATGTTGATATATCCCTAGCTCTGTATATGGCTAAAAGAAGTGACAATTTAGAAAAGGACCCACTGGTGACATAGTACAGAGGCCCCTGTCCTGTCAAATAGCAGGTAAACGTTCATCAGGTACAACTTTCCACATGCAAGGTTCAAAAGGTGACCATCTTAAGTCAACATTTTTCTTTGGTCTGTGGCATCACTGCCAATCTTTAAATAGTTTCCATTTAGGCAAGAACACAGGGATTAAGTTCTTCCAT